ACAATATTCCATTTAAAGTGAACAATAACTCAGTATTATGCTTATGGTGCAACTCTGAAAATCCTTTGTGAAATTCCTAGAAGTTTATGAAGGAAATTGAAGAAAGTAGCTATTTTCAATGAGATAATAAGCTATAATGAGAATCGTTTGTACTGCTTAGATAATGTATTATGACAAAGTGACCAAACATTCAATAATGATTGTCAACAAGTATCTCGTTGATCGATTGCTTATTAAATTTAACATTTTATAAATTTGTTTCACTCTTGAAAGGTGAACTGGTTATTTCGGGGTGGAGGGATTCCGAGACGATAGGTAATTGATGAAGTGTAAAACAGCTAGGAATCGGAGAAACTTGAATTCTGCCAAGAACTTGGGATGTTTAGAGTCACAGGAATAACTATATAATGCTTTAACTAGAGTAAAATTAATATACCCTAAAGCTAGTAAAATATGGTTTTCAACACCGCCGTTCATGTATTTATTGGAAAGACCATTAATTCAAAACTATCCAATAAAGAAATATCTGATCAAGTGCAATAACTTGTTTTCTATAAGATACACCATATGAAACTGGAAACTGAAGCAAATTGGATAAACCAACAGAGAAGTTAATAACTATTTGGTTATTTGACAGAACATTTGAATGACTGATGTTATAAAATTACAATGTTTCTAGCGAAACAAATCTTTTGAGATGGTGGAGAAGATTTGTAGCTCAAGTGGATGATTTTTATAGAGTTTTATTCTCTAAGCTGAATGGTTTGAATCTAAATGTAGACTTCTACCTGAAGTTTGTGCTGATGATGTCGTTCAGAATAACGATGAAAACTCCACGACCAAACTATCCATCTCAGAGAACAAAACTCCATCAAAACCAATCTTTTGACTGAATTGAATTTAAATATATTTCCAGAGGAATAACCAGCATTGATTAACTGATCGAATATAGATATTTTAAAGTGTTAGTGATTATTTATTGGCAAATTATATATCACAACAACTCCGCCTGGAGTCCCTCCGAGGGCTACTGCCGGTCCCAAGCCCGGATAAAGAAGGAAGGTTGGGCATGGGGTTGGCGACCCCATCGGTCGATCGATCGATCACTTTTGTTTGTCATGGCTAATTTGAATGTTGTAATAATACCCAATGAATGTTGAAGAACTCTAGTAAACAAATACATACACTAGATGAAATAAAGTGTATTTAATCATGATTGTGAACGCGATATTTTTGAATTATTTAGTTTAGATTCATCAGTTTACATTTCTAAACTTACTTGAAGTTCATAATAATTAGTGGTTTATTCCATTTTGAATCAAAATATGATAATTACGATGTTGATACACTCAGAATATTGCTCACATTGAAACTTGATTGATCGATTTCGATCAGGACTAAGAACTAGACAATATGATATTGATCACTACATAGTGGTTAGTCAATGTAAATATTTTCAGTCCTACAGTGAGTCAGTTGCGCTCTGGACAATTCACTAATAACGTCTCAGAATATAAAGCTGTAGTTTGAACTATAACATATGGAAGAATAAATTGGATTTAGCATGAAGACTTTGGCATGAATTCGAGGCTAAATTCATTCAGTCATTTGGATAAATAGATCTTTGGAATAATAGCTAATATCATTTCTAGAGGAGAAGCTTCACTCTGATTTTTATCAGTAATTTATAACTTAAGTTTGACTCTTGTGAGTAGTCAAGCTTTTCAAGACCACTTTTGTATCTCCCAGAGATCATCCGCTATTTATAGTCTCTTCTTAGTTCATCAAACATTACGGGTATGTCTTGTTAGGTTGTACCAACTAGCACGTGACCTAGGTCAGAAATTTTTGTCTATCTTTAGTTCTCTAACATCATTGTTATAGTATTCTCTAGATATTCCTGTTAAAGAATTAATCAATTAACCAGCCATTTTGAAAATATTCACTTAAAAACTGTCGTCACAGTTTCTAAGGGGTTTCTTCAAGTAAAACTCCTGGAGCATTTGAAAACAATTGTACATTAGAATTTTCATCTAAAGAGTATACTTTTGCAGTTTTCATATATCAGAAATGGTTTTGTGGAGATCTTAGTAATTTCAATAGTTGAAATCATGAGTCAATTGAAGCTAGACCACCATGGAAAACCTGGAAGCATTGGATGGCCGTTTCGTCCTAGTACGGGACTCCTCGGCAATTTCGTGGATTGGTTGTAATTAGACATTAATACCGTTGGATGCCGGCCAGCTCAGTGGCCTAATGGTTAAGCTCTCGCGCGCGAGACTCATAGAGTCTGGGTTCGAATCTCGCGGGGTGCGGAATCATGAATGTGCGTTGCTGAGGAGTCACACAATAGGATGAAACGGCCATCCAGTGCTTCCAGGTTCTCCATGGTAGTCTAGCTTCAAATGACTCATGATTTCAACTATTGAAATTTTCATATAGACGCAAAGTGATAATTTAAATTAGAATACCTCACTGAATATTTCGAGAGATAACAAGTTATTCAATATTTCGAAATGCACAAACATAATTAAAAATTCATTCACAAACATTCACCTTCAAAATCTATGGTTTAAGCCTTGCATATATAATTAACAAGGGTTGAAGTGTTATTCAAAATAGTAGGAACTAAACATAGAGAAATCGATATAGGCTTTTAGTAATCTGATACTCATGATTAATGAAGGTAAAATATGATCTCAATGATCTTTACTCTTTTATTATTGATAATCTTGTCTTATCTTATGCTATTTGTGATCAACTAAAGACTTTACATTTCAATCATTTGTAAAAGAATATCATACTTTGTTGAAACAGTAAATGATTTTGGTGTCGAAGATTAGTCTTTGTCTTCTTGATCCCCAAATGTAACAAGAAAGCTTCATGAGTTTTTTCTAGTGTTGTTGGACTGGACTGGTTTATTATAGAATAAAGAAGCAATGTTTAGTCTCTATCTTGATTATTGAGAAATACGTACTTAATGTCACCCTTTGTGGAGGATAGTTGGCAGTCTGGGATTCTCCAATCTTAACTGTCCTCTCTATTCGTTTTTAAGCGCTACTCATTCTTTCGATGTATACTTCCAATTCCCAAATCAATATGTTCTTTGGTATTCCTTTTTTGCCATCAAGATTTCAAGTTAAGGCTTGCCTCGTTAGGCAGTTTGATGATTTCCTCAATATGTTTCCTAACCACTTATGACACCTTTTTCTAATTGACTTTTCACCTAGAGTCTGATTTGTTCCCTGTCACAGTAGGTTGTTGTTGATGCTTTTCAACCAATGGACACTGAGTATTTAACATAGACAGCTGTTTGAAAATACCTGTACTTTTTTTAATAATAGTCGTGATAGATTCCTACATTTCACCTCCACACAATAGAACTCTCCTGATGTCCTAACTGTCAAATTAGTTTCTTGATATTATATAAAATAATTTTATCAACGAAGTAATAAGAGGACAGTCTTACACTTCATGTTCTCTACTATTAGACCTACCAGTTCATATGTACGTATCAGAGAATTCATATTGAAAGAAATAGAAAAAAGTTTATTGTTCATATGCGTTGTATGTGCGCAGAATGATGATTTCTTTGTACTTGATTGAAAACTTGTTATGAATTCCAAATATATATTACGTCCAGTTGTGCTTATCAAGTTCTAACTGCCTGAAATTGCATTATTTCAAGAATTCTTCTCATATTTTATCAAAATACTCTGGAACTTTGTATTAAAACATATTGGTTATCTCCACCCGTGTTCTCATTCATTTCAATGTGACCTCATTCATTTCCTAATACTTTCTTCTAGAACATCTGCCTGCTTAATTTGGAAATAGTCAACCTAAATTGATAACGCGATGGCGCTTGAAGCGAACAGTACTAGGTTCAAGTCCCAGAGTGTACATCAACTCTGAAATGCAGGTACATCCAACTGACGAGTCCTAGAAAAAAGAGAATAACTTCATTTTCAAAGAATTAAGTTGATCAAACAGATCAATATTTAAATTGTTGAAACCATGAGTCAATTGAAGCTAGACTATATACTCACTAGTGACTGATATCAAGAGGTATTTCCTGCAGTTTTAATGAGAAGCAATGACCAGTGGAGTTCAACTGGATCAGTTGTGAGATAGTAACTCACTGAAGATAATGGTGGATGTGTCGCTCAATTATGTGGATTAATTGAAGTTAGACATTAACACTATTGGATAGTGACCGGCTTGGTGGTTTATAGGTTAAGCGTTCGCGCGCGAGACAGATAGGTCCTGGGTTCGGATCTTGCGAGGTGGTTACTTGCGCTAGGAAACTAGTTCGTCAAACGATATGAATTCTATCTAATATAATTTAAAGCTTATGTGATTTAGTGTATTAACAATCAGAATGTGATAACGAGATTATGAACCGATCAATGTTATACCACCACTGAAAACCTGGAAGCACTGGACTACCGTTTCGTTCTAGTATGAGACTCTTCAGAAGTGCGCATCCACGACCACACCTCACGAAATTCGAACGCAGTTACACGTTTACACTATTGGATGCCGGCCAGCTCAGTAGTCTGGAGGCTAAGCGTTCGCTCGCAAGACTGACAGGTCATAGGTTCGAATCTTGAGAGACGGAATCGTGGATGCATACTGCTGAAGAGTCCAACAATAGGACGAATTGGCTATCCAGTGTTTCCATCTTTTTCATAGTGGTCTAGCTTCAATTAACTCATAATGTCAACTATTAAAACAATTACTATAATATCCACAAAAACCCCTTCTGATACATCAATATTTAATATAATAAATAAAAAAACATGAAAGATACTATTAACTCTTATGACAATAAGATTAACAACTAAAGTACCATAGAATCTAATTATCCAATCATAATCATTTATATCGGTTCTTTTTTATTTTGCTCTCTTTTCTTCTGATCACGTTCATCATACTATACATACATATGTATTCAAGTACCCCTCAAATACATATGAGTATGTACAATGATATGATTATATGAATATTACAAAAAACGTAACCATTATAATGAACAATAATAATAATATAACTGTTCAATTTACATATTCATTACACTATATTATTCACTGATTATCCAAAGTTCTCATTATTATGTAATCATTATCATCATCATCATCATTATTATTCTTTCAATCGTATTACATCTAGTATCCATGTATATGATATTTTTCATATTCTATAGTTTGATTATCATTCCTATAAATCAATGTATTGATTATGAAAAAATACAAAAAAATATCAGAAATTTCAATCATTATTATTATCCTCATCATGATGATTATGTGATCCATTCAAAAGATTCATGTTATCAAATTCAATTTAATAATAATAAGATTGAAGAATTAATTAAACAATCCGATGTAATTATAACGGGACGTTTAACATATCATGATACATATGAGAAATATAAACAAATTCATTCATTATATCCTAATCGTATAATGACAACTACCACTACTACTACTACCAATACTACTACCGATACTACTACTAATAATAATAATAATAGTAATATCTACTTCAATATAACTGTATTAGTTAAAACTATTTATAAAGCTAATTATCCGATTGGGAATGAAATTATTATTGGTCCAGTATATATATTAGATAATCATCATCATGGAAATGGTATAGGATGTTTACCAGTATTTTATTCTAATGCCAAATATATATTTTTTTTAAAGAATAATAGTAAACTATTGAATTATTATGAACCTCTTAGTGAAATCATAGAATATACTGAATATATGGAAAAGAAAATTTATGCTTATTATTGTCAAAATTGTGGTAGGTTTTATATAATATTGTATGTAATATTGAATATATATACATATATGCATACTCCATATTTTGCTATATCAATCAATAAGGGGTGAGGATTTTGGGTAGCTATGTGGATCATATGATGGTGTTTGAAGCGAATAGTACTGAGTTTGAGTCATAGAGTGTACATTTAATTGATGAGTTGTTATAACTCAAAGGCGCCGCCAATTAGAGGGAAGTGATTTATCGATCGAATCAAGGGATTCAGAATCTCGCTAGGCTATTCTAGTCCGTTGTCACCGACTCAGCTAACTCCATCAAGAAGTCTTGGTAAGACGTAGAAGTGTATTCTACAGGCAACCAGCAGATACCAGGTCAGGTCAATCAGGCAAACAAGTCAAATATTTATAATCGATATTGTCACGGTAAAAATGTTTTTAAACAATAATCAATAAGTTCATCAGTCAATAGCCATTCAAATATTCAATCGATAATTTCATCAATTGACTGCTATTTAATCATTTTTAATCGATAAGTTCATCAATTGACTGTCATTCAAATATTTAAACATTTAATCGATAAGATAAAATTACAACATATGAGTTTTGGAGATCTATCGCCTCCAACATGAGTCCTAAATAGGATGAAACGAACATTCTAGATTCCATTGTTAACCTGTTATCTATTTTTGTTGTTGTTTATAATGCTTGTGAATTAAAGTCATATCAAGTTAATACACACAGTATGTACATATGCCACTAAGAGATAGAGATTGATCGATTGAAGTTGTAAACATCAAAATGAGAAGATTCATGTAAACAATATCTAGTGGATTTTGTAAACTTTTTTTTATTTTTGTGTTATTCAAAATTGAAGTTGATTATTCTTTCCTGGATTATGGGAATCTAATTGGATGACTTAATATTGGAGTTCAATTACAAGTTGTTGTTTTTTTTATGTGGTGTATTTTGGTTGGAATCAAGTATGTATATCCTGACTTATCAACTAGATGTACATGCGTCTTAGTGTTTATAGGCATAGTGAAATTGAAACTCAACGAAGTTTATCCAGATGCCAACGCTTTGCTCATTAAGCTTCTGAGTTCATATGTGGACTAAATTCTTCAATGGGTATAAAACATTGATAAAGATTGGTAATATCCCATTGTTTATATTCACCACAGTATTTGATCAGTCTTTGTTGACAATTAGGTTATATAATCATATACCAGGATACAGTATGGTCGCTAAACGTTGCTTATATTACATCAGCACTAAGATACAAGTATATCCAACCAAATACTCTTAAACAAAACTCACTGCATGTCTCGAATTCCATTACTTCCGATTATCCCAAGTGATAAGGCATCATTATAACATTTCACGACTTTTGTTTTTTAAAAAAAACACTGCTGCAATAAACCAATTTCTGTGTAGTATCAGTTTACAATTGTAGAGAAACATACAGATGAGAAAAAAAACATTTTCCTTTCTAATGGAAATCAAACTGTACAAAACATAAACTAACGATTTTCTATCAATATCCTATAGCGATCCTAATGTGACAAAACAAAATGTTTTTGATTGAGATCATGAACCGATTGATATTAGACAACCATAGTAAACCTGGAAATACTGGACAGGCGATTTCGTCTTATTACGAGATTCCTCAACAGTGCACATTCACGATCCCACTTGCGGGATTCGAACCCAGAACTTTCAGTCGCGCACGCAAACTCTTAACTTCAATATCCCGCGAGCGGGATCGTGCATACACACTGCTGAGGAGTTCCGCAATAGAATGAAACGGCCATCCAGTGCTTCCAAGTTTTCAGTGGTGATCTAACATCAATCGGTTCATGATCTCAATCAATAACTTAACAATCTCCACAACCCTATACTGATAAAACAAAAAGTCACAAGCATAGAAAATAAGGATGAAAAATAGGAATTAATCATAGAAACTTTATAGTTATCTTAAGATGTACATGTTAAAGATCCATTTATTGATAATATTTTTGTTACATTAACCCGAATGAATAAAGAAATTGTATTTTCGATGTTTCGTGACTAAATATAAATTACTTCTTCAGAGTAAATATATAACCGAATTCAATTAACACAAGTTTAAATAATACAATAATACTCTGAAAAAGTGAATTATATTAAGTCACGAAACATCGTTAGAGATGCAATTTTTTTATTCATTAGGATACGGTAAACGGAATGCACCCATTAAGAAATTAAATAAGAAACATTAGTTCAGCGAAGAGTTCTCTTTTTTCGGCGAATTCATTTTCAAAGCTGTACAATCCCAAATATATATACTTATGTTTTTAGGATGATAATAATTACAATAATAATGATAATAAACTTCTGTTAAACATGGTGACAGTGAGGTAAAATAAACAAAGTCATTAAAAAATTTTAAACAAGGAAAACTCAAGGGAACATCAACTCCGAAATGCAAGTACATCCAGCTGACGAGTCTCAAATAGGACGAAACGTGCGTCCTAGATTCCACTGCTAACCAATATCTATCTTAGCATATAGTGCTTATGAATTAAGGCTATATCGAGGCAGTACTCACAGTATACACATATGTCAAAAAAGAGACTGATCAATTGCGGTCGTAAACATTAACGGGAAGATTCAAACAAACAATAACAAGTGAATTTGAACCTAATAAACATTTCATTATTACTCGCTTAAATATTCATCAAAAGATAGATAGGGAAATAATCATTGAGACAGGATAGCTCAAAATGATAATATAAAACGTTGGAATTGAGAATAGATGTAATTAGGAGGATCGTAGAAACAGAAATAAATCAGTTGAGGGTAGAAGATTTAAAGGAAACATGGAGGGGGAAACAAATGGCTTTAATAGAAGAAGAGTACGAAGAAAAAAAGTTTTTTAAATCCCCAAAAAATTATAAGACATTAAGACCATGGTCGAAGAAGAGGTTGTACCAATCTCTTTTGCACACATAATTCTGGCTTTCTCAGATGTATGGCTATTGCTTCGGCAATGCTAAGAAGATGAAATCTAATTGTCATCAGAAGACTTCTACTTACCTTGTAGATGAACTCGAACGTAGAGTTCATCGTGATTGGGTGACCTTTGTTCACAAAGTGTTCGATTATTAAACTTATTATTGAGCCTTTTCCTCCTCTTCTTAGCCACGCCGAATAATGTTCTTAAATTCTTTTAAATAAAGTACGCATCGAACGACCTATATACCTAGCTCTACATGAGCAGATAAATTGGGATATAACATTAAAAAGAAAAATATTTATTATCATGGACACGGAGAGTCCACCTAGAGGAGTTGGAAAACTATGATTCAAAACCAATGATGCACATGAGGCTCCAGTATCCTGAAGGAACAAATGGTGTATGAACCTGATGTTGGTCACCGATTATCATGGGACTGTATCTCCGTATGTCGCTCCACTGTCTTGTGGATTAGACCTTTAGGTCAAAGGCTTCGGGAATGGCCCACTAAGAAAACCAACTGCTTCAGTTTGTGTGTGCGGACAGTATCCCATCCCTCACACAAATCGAATGATTTATGTGGTGCATATCTATTTGGTGACTCCTTGTACCAATGTTTATATATTTAAATAAATAAATAAATAAAATAAATTTATTTGAAACTATCAAATCCAACCTTGATATGGATACCCATCATTTGTTGATTGTTATATAAGACTGAATCATAGTTAAATTAATATCCAATCCATGATCTTATCATTAAGGTTTATAATAATTTACTTCTTGTTGTATCCCGATGAGAATAATGAATGGCAACTGTTAGAATCTATTTCTGGACTAATACTATACATATATTTTGCATTGTATAATTGTCAAGTAACTCAACTATTCATATTCATGTTCCTCTTATTATAAGCTTTATTTTGACTTAGATATTATTATTACACGACTTATCATTCTTGAGTTATGCCCAGTTTATTAATTACAGTCTCCCACATTCACAACCACTTTCGGTTAAATCTTTTACAAATGTGTATTTTCCATTTTATGGTATGATATGGTCTGTTTGGTTTGTATATAAACCCGGTATGTTTGAAATACATGATTCATATCACAGAGGTTGAGATTGATATTCTGGACAGGAATTAAGATCGCTAAGGACTATAGACTGCTCGTAGAGGTTTTATGCGTCATTGGTCCAGTCGATAATTCACTGTTCTCTAATTGGTGATATCATTACGTTATACATTGATAGGGGAACAAACCCACAAGTTATAACACTTCTAACAATTGAATGTATAATTCACTACTGCATATCATTACATCTTTACATAATAACAACAGTTATTAAGCTTAATTCTAATGATTAAGTTTCAATATACTTTTCAAGAATAGAACTATGACACTTAACTCTCTAAAACCTGAACTTTATCATCATTTCTGTTGTTTTTAAAACTAAGATTACTCAACAATGAACATCCAATCTTACAAGGCATATATCTATTATAGATTGTATTCTATGAATAATATTGTACTTTAAACTAACATTAATATTGATCATACATCTTACATGTGTCTTTTGGCATCGACAACTAATAACTCTAACATAATAGTTTAGTAACAAAATAACTCATAATACAAGCCTATCCAAGTAACATACCTTCGTTTATCAATAAGGCATTCACCTTACATACGGTTATATAAATGACTTTTATGTTCTTTAATACATATGTTGGTGTTATTAGAAAGAAACTAGAGAGCTTGAAAATCCAACTGTTAAATATCCAGTGGTTTAGAAAATATTTTTCTTCTAATATTTTATTATCTCTAATGAAATCATGAACCAATTTAAGTTAGATAACTCTTAAAAATACAAACACACTGAACGGATGTTTCACCCTAGATTAGGACTTTTCAACAGGGTTATTCGTTAATCAGTCAATCAGCTATAGAGTAGGATCAGGCACATATATATGCATCGGTCGAAGTTGCCACACCTCATTAGCACAACAAGATGAACACCAAAT